CCCCAAAACCCCAAAACCCCAAAACCCCAAAACCCCAAAACCCCATATCACCAAAATATTATTGAAAGATCTATTAGTAATCTTGTCCTCTGGATACAACCTCTTTAGAAGTGGGTTTCAACAAAATGGTGTGTTCATACTGAGCAACATAACTTCCAGGGATATCATTGAGAGGAGGATAAGCAGTGATAACTCCCTCATCACAGAGATTCTTCAGAGGAAGAATGTATCCTCCCTTGAAACCGTCTCTTTCAATCCATCTTTTACAGAAAGCAAGTGTTCCGTAATGCTTGTTAATATGGGAGATAAGAGCTCTTGCCTTGGGGTTCCTTAATGGAACTTTGCCAACGTGGAAATCTTTCATGTAGTGGCTACAGTCTGCTTCTTCGTAGACAACTCCTTTTCCAGTTGAACCAAAAGTTTCAATAGCATAGACTTCTCCTTCCTCCATTTTTGTAGTATCACCGCCTTTAACTATAGGCACGCTCTTTCCTGCATGAACTTGGTATTTTCCGATGAGATGTCCATTAAGATTTCTGCAGCATTTGACAGGATAGGTTGTTCCGTCAAGCTCAACTTCATATGATTCCATAACTTCTTGGATGGCTTCTCCGATATCACACAGTCTAACATCAATTCCTGCAGTTTTGATCCCTGTATTTGTAGCATCTTTGACAGCTTGCAATAAGTTATCATATTTTTCATTGAATGCAATTGTGAAAGCACAGTCAATGATATTACCTCCAACATGGGTTCCGAAATCGAGCTTGCAGACATCATCTTCACCAAGGATTTTATCGTCTCCTGGATTTGGAGAGTAATGAGCAGCACAGTCATTAATACTAATACCTGTGGGAAAAGCTTGTCCAGCTTCAAGGTAGTTTGCTTGGATTAATTCAAGATTCTTAGCCTCTAGTTTATGGCATATGTCAATCAGTTTCATGCCAGGCTTAATGAATGACTGGGCATATTTTCTGACTTGTCTGTGACATTCAGCTCCTCTTCTAATAGCCTCATAATCATATTTCATGATTCTTTCCTTTTCTCTCATTTCTTCAGAGGTAATCCTGGAAGTATCATGAGAATATTCCATGATCTCACCCAATGGGTATTCGTTATCAGGAAATTGATCAGCAATCGGGATAGAATAGTCCTCAGTCTGCTTCCATTCACCTTCAGTCCAATCTCCCAAGAGTCTGAACTTGGAATTATCTAGTGCTCTTGGTGCATACTTATGCTCTTCTTCTTCAGCATCCTTCTTCTTCTTGTTCCTCTTTCTCTTCTTTCTTTTTCTCTTCTTTTTGCCACCTTCACCTTCAGCAGCCTCTTCAGGTTGGTCCGAGGCTTCAGTCTTCTTCTCTTCTTCAGGGGTTGGCTCTTGCTTTTCTTTTGGAGCATCCTCAGCAGGTGTCTCAGTCTTAATGACTTCTTCTGTAGCTTCCATAATAAATTTATATTAATTCAACCAATTGGGGCTTATACGGGGTTTTGGGGTTTTGGGGTTTTGGGGTTTTGGGGTTTTGGGG